GGGAAGACCTTCACTTTCTTCCTGGTCTATAGGAGACTCAGTTTTGTTTTGCAAAGTTTACACGTCTGACTGATAAGTCGAGCGAATGTCGCGGTTTTCCGAGTTGATACTAAGGAATGAGTACAGAAGATGTACAAAATTGATATGTTATTGAAGATGACCATCTTCTGGAATGTTACGCCGTAATCTCGTAGAAGTATACTGACGTTTTGTAGGAGTTTGCTGTCTCTCCATTGTCAGGCCTGATTCTTGTGGCATCGAATTGCGGAACAACGGTACTCAATATTCCATACGGCTAAGTAACCACCGTGCCACCAGGGGACCAGGAAGTAAGATATTCAACAGATACCTGATACAGTTCCCTATCCCAAACCAGCTTTAACCACTCCAGTTTATCACAGCTGTTTGCCTTAGATCCATATTTAGTATGATTAAAAGTCTGTTTTTAAGCAAGGAAGTAACGGAAGTTATGTAATTAATACGCAGCATATGTTTACGAGAATTTGGTGTTTACCTTTGTGATGTCGTAACAACCGCGCAGACATACAGTCACCATTACTATTTTATATAAAGTGTATTTAACCATGTACCTGCTGTTATTTTTAATATCTTTTGCAGTATTAAGGCTTACGATGTATCATGCGTGGAGAAGGGCCCCGTGTTTCGCGTACCCATCACTGTTGTTCGTCCCACACAGTTGCCCCGTGAACTGCTTCGGCCAGAACTCAGTTTCCGTAATGTAGTATTTAAACCTAACACTATGCATCGTCACTTTATCTTGGTACCTGATGAGGCCACATGGGCAGGTAAGCACAGCAGTAATTCAGTGTTAAGTTCACAGTTCATTATGTTCTTCAAATAAACAATGAATTTTCTGACTTTTTTTTAATCTTGTGGTCCCTCGCTGTTCTTGCACTTTAATTGTTTTCCATTTTAACTTCATTTTTCAGGTTTATTTCATTTAAATGTCACTTATTCATTTGTATTGTATTTTGGAAACTGTGGGAGATGTACGAGAAATTTGAATTGCAAGAAGTGTCATACCGAGATGCGCGTGATTACGTCGTGATCGTAACATCATAAGGTGTGGTTCCTGTTTAATGTACAATACAACCTCAAAGGTAAATGTTACTGGGAGAAAACAAAAATTTGTTTTTGTGTCGCAGCAGAAGACGTCGCATTTACTGTCCACATTTGTTTTCTTGGTGTCTGCATTCCGTAGCACTGATTTTTGGCTCGGCTCATGACGAAACTTACAGTGCTGGTTGTTTCACTTGGTAAATAAAATCCTTTAGCCTTCGTTAATCAGTCACAAAAACCTGATACAGGAATACCAGTGTTTAGGAAAACCTTCGCTCCTCACTGGCTTAGTATAGTGACATTTTCTGTACAGTGCCTGCTGTTGAAAGTTATGATATGTTCTTTCGCAGTTTTGCAGCTGCAGTGTGTCGAGAAGGATAAATCTGGACGGTTTGTGCTACACTGCCTGCAACTGCGTCCAAATATGGTGTGCAAAACACTTGAATGTCACAAGATGGTCAACGTCAGCTCACAGAGTGAAGTCATCCAGGGTTTCCCCGTTCGGGTAAGAATTTTAACCGGTTTTGTTTTCACGTTGTTAACTGGTTGTGTTTGCCTGTGAATAGGTTCTTTTTTCAGGAATTACTGTGTTTTTTTATATTATTGAATCCTATGATTGATATGATTCACCGACAGTTACAATTCATGCATAATTCTTCAGGCATTTGTGACAGTGTAGCTAATCTTATTTCGTTCTTGTGCGGCAACATAGCGTTTTATTCACAGACTGTGTGTTCCTAGTGAGATTTTTGGTTTCTGTGGTGGTGAAGATTTGGTCATCTAGGTTGATGACATGTAGTCTTGTTAGCAAAGCTTTGGAAGAATTTATCACCTCCATCATCAGGGTAGAACATCACAGTTCAAATATATGTCTCATTATCCACGCTGCTATTGATGGTAAGTAGGAACCGTACCAGCAGGTATGAAAGTGTTGATGAAGAAATGCGTAATGAAACGACACATTTTTGTGCGCAGGGTGGCCTGGTGTTGGAGGTGGTTGTGGCAAAGTATTGGGCAAACCTTGGGGAGGTGGTGCTGGACTACTCGTTGGCATTCCACGGCGTTAAGTCAGAGAGCCCCAGTATAACGATGCAAGGTGCCGATGGTATCTTGTCCTTGGAACTCCGTAGCGGCTTGAGGAGTGAAGAGATCGCGCCCGTCGTGACACTCAAGAACACAGTCCAAGTTATAAGGTGGGCTGCTCGTATTGAAATATTTTTTCCTTCTTCGAATGTGTTTTGGTCACTTGCCGTATTGATAATCTTTTTGTTGTGGATTTTATCCATTGTCAGTTTCTATAAACATCATCATTGTTGTTGTTACTATGATTATGTCAGTTCAGTCTATTGGATCCAACAGAATGCACGTTCCCAGTTTGACACCTGATGGCGGAAGACGGTTCATCTTCAAGCAGTTGTCAGTTGATGGAATAATCACCTGACAATGGATAGCGTCCTAAACAAAGATAGTAGTGGATATTGTTTGGTTGTTTAAATGTGTTTCAAATAAGGTACACATAATTTCAGAAGCTGGTTTTGTAATTAGTTGTCTTCTTGTAGAATGAAGAGGTTCTTTTCTGTGGGACCAGTATTTAAAATTCTGCTCAGTGACAGGATATTACTCCGAAGTATGATTATTCTTGCTTATCTGTTTGTGAAACATTCTTCTAAAGAACCATGTTGATGTTCCAGGCCTACAGATTCGAAGGTCAGCCCTCTGTCTGCACGAGATGTTATTCCTCCATCTAGACAGATCTACGAACTGCAGTTTACGTATAACTTCCATATTTCCAAAGCCACTGAGGTGACGCCCAACAGGTACCTTTCAGTTAGTACAGTGTAAAATTATTAAAATTACAGTTGTATGATTGTCGTCTGGTTATTTGGTTCTTGTGCCGTCTTTCCGCAGCCCTGTACTCAGTGACCTGCTGTATGAATCGGAGTTTGAGTCGCAGCTTTGGATGCTATTCAACTGCAACAAGCAGCTCCTGGCAGCGGGAGATGCCTATCCATCTAAAGTAAGTTCGGGGTGCTACTTATCACCGCAGTGCAGAAAAGAAACATTATTTTACTAACATGTGTTGTTTTATTTAAAAAACAGCACAAACTTTAATTACCTTATATTTTAATTGAAATGCAGACAGTACCTCTAGCACAGTAGCTCGCCACCAACCTGATCTTAAGCCAGTTTAGTCTAATCCACAGCGTCAAATGCTGTCTATTTCCTTAAATTTCACCGAGGACGTCATTGCAGCCATTCACACCTTCACGTGTGTTCATGCCCTGATGCTGCCTGCGTGTTCTGACTGAATTTTTGGTGATTGTTTTCCTCAGTGCCTACAGCCGAATGCTATGATAGTATCTTGTAATAGGCCATAACCATCTCCTTCCCAAGTCCTTACGTACCAAACATTCATTGTTGCACAACCTTTTTAGACTTCTTAAATAATCTAAGAGTCAAGCTCTGCCTTTTTACGTCTATTTCGGCCGTCCTCTTTTCTTTTCCTTGGTCTTGCAAGTGGCTGTCTTCTAAGAGGTGATGGCCCTCACAAAAATTTTGAATGTGCATTAAGCAGTTATCCAGTTTCCATCCCACATAGAGAATGGTCATTTTCAGAGACCCTCTAGTTGAGTGCTTTGATACTGACGTAAAACAGACGGTAATGTCTTATACCACATTGTTACCATCTTGCACACAAAAGTTTCCTGTCAATACCCATGTGATGCTACATAAACAAATTACTCTTCTTCATCTCGCTGGCATGACTGATTTGGAAGCCTATCTGAGAGTTTTGATGAGTAATGCAAGATTAAATATAAAATGCGTGTTTGTAGATGTGTCTTTGAAATCTCTGGCAATAAACTGTACTAAGTTCTGTCTTTGGTAGTATATGGCCAAAGTTGATAAAGGAGACTACGTCTTGAAGCTCCACGTGCGACATGAGAGAAAGGATCTGCTAGATAAAATGCTGGACCAACCCCTGCTTCTGAGTCAGAAACTGCCCGCTGCGCTTACTCTGGACGTGTATGCCAGCCAGACTCAGGCAACGACGGGCGGCAAGAAAATGATGGGGGCGACTCTCCCGCAGGGGCACATCGTGCCCATCTACATAGCCCCACTCTCAAACGATAAGTAAGTCGATGAACTTTGTTGATGCATTAAATGATAGTGTCCTGAATGAAGTCAAACAATTCTATTTTCTTCTTAGAAGATTTGTTTAATATTCTCACATATTTATAATTTTTTTTGTATTTTATTATATTTACTTCTTCTTTTTTTGTATTAGCTTCTTTTTTATAAATTTCAGAGCCAGTAAAGGGGTAACAGTGGGGCAGTTCTTGTCTGGAACGATCAGCTATGCGAAGGATGAAATTGGCAAGAAAGTGGTGAGTTTAATTTCACTTATAAAATGCGACTTGTTTGTTATAACGCACTGTGTTAGTCCGCCCGCATAACAGAATTCAGTTCTTTCATGTATACACGTGAAATTTTATGTATCGTTCTCGTAAGTTGATGATATCTAATGAGAGAAATGAAACGAGGAAAGCATTTGAATTCAATAAATTGGAGATAATTATACAGTGGAAGGTTTCACGGGTTGTACTTCAACCTGCTGTTGCAAGTGGTTGAATCAAGAAGTTGTGTTGTCCGATACGTGGGTAGAAAAAAAATATTTTGGTTATAAAATTCCTGGGGAATGCAATGCTTCTCTGGAAAGATAATGTCAGAATAGATCTCAAAGAAATGTTTTATGAATGTGATAATTCATTTGTAACATACTGCCTTCATCATCAGTGTGATGAGAAGGATGATGGTTCTGGGTTCCATTAAAGCTGGGAATTTCTTGTCCTGCTGAGCAAGTATCAGCTTTTAAATGAGAACATCATCATAAAAAATTAGAATGGTTTTGTAATAAATTTTGTGTGTGCGCGCGCATATTCTGTGTTTCCAGGATGTGTATCCATTCAAGTATGTATTAACCGAGGCACCTAAGAAGTCTTCCAATACGAAGTTGTCAGATACGAAGGACAAAGAAAAGACGAAATGGGATGAGTACAATGAAGTAATAAGGGACTTGAGGACTAGTTGGCTGGCAAAGCTCGGTGAGTTTAATCAGAGAATTGCTGCAGATTAGAGTCAGAATGTCTTTCTAGTATAAGTTCACTAAGTGCAGGTAATAAGGGAATTAATGTTTGTTATTGCGTGCATTCAGATCCAGATGAACAGGCTACTTCTCTGTATGATGAACTGAAGAAACTGTACCCCGATCACCTCGCGGTACACACTGCCATGCTTCAGTGCCTGGAGTCGAACGAACCCAAGAAGCAGCTCCCATTCATAGAAAATGTGAACATATCTGATAACTCTGTCAGTGCCATGGCCAACCAGATCATCGATATAGCAGAGATGGTCATAAACAATGTTGATCAGACTCGACTCCTTGCTTATTTTGGCACAAAGACGGATCAAAAGCCGGATGCAGCAAAGACTAAGATGTATGTACCAACTTTGTGGGGACAGGGTGCATTTGGCTGACTAGTGAGAACAGTATTTAGATGTAACAGAATGAGTAAAATTACTTAATGACAAATTTAATATTCGTGCTCTTCATTAGTTCAACGATAATAAGTTTGTCTTGATTCTTGAATATTCTTGTTATCTGTAAACAAAATGTGAAATACTGATTTGTAAGAGATGTGAGGTTCTCAATCGGCGATGATGTTGATGTAGGTCTTCCGGGTTGAGACACGATGCGCTCCTAAAGCTAGATAAGAACATTTCAGATGGGTTGTGACACGATGCGGTCCTAAAGCTAGATAAGAACATTTCAGATGATCGTACCGCCTCCATCTGGCTGAAGAGTTAGTGTGTTGCTCCAAATCATTGATATCTAACTACAAGTCCACATGACATCACAACCCAAAGATCAACATCGATACTGACGTGTTTCTCTCTTAGCTTAATGGAGCGCCAGAAGACGGCACTTGTGGAAGCTCTGTCCAGAAAGGGTTCGGCTTTGTGTCGTCTTTATGCCATTACCAACGCGACGGGCTCTAAAGCTGGAGACGGTGATGGGCAGGAACAGCTTTCAACTGTTGGTGCATCTGCAATTTCGCTTGACAGTATTGACAATGTGTGGAGAGATGTGCTCAAATTCACAGATACTAATGATACTAAGGTTTGTACTTCATCTTACAACTGAATTTAAAACCATCGGCTCTGTTATAAATATTTAAATGAAATTCTCAGATGATCCTGTATGACGTCTATTCACAATGAGAGCTCTGCTCCTCTGAGTCTGATAGTTAACGTTGCAGGTGTTCTACTTCTTGCTGTGGCATGCCGTTGTGCACCAGCACTGGGGTCGTGTCCTCAAGATCCTCGTCAAGATGGGGGAGGACAAGCCTTCCCGCGAACTAGATGAGAAGGGCGCGGAGGCTGGCCGCAAGCTAGGTTGGAAGCACTATGTCCATCACATCGAGTCTTCGCTGCTCGTCAGGTACCCTCCGGCATACCGACCTTTCTGATAACACGGTGAGAATTTATTTTTGTCTCCTTTCATAATATCTGAAGAATAGAACTGTTGACAGTGGATGAGATCAGGAGAGCACGTGTGATACAAATCTGGCGACATTTTGAGGTGTCGGAGTAGGTGATATTTTTAGCATTAATAGGGTGTACAGAAGTTTTTGAGTTTACATTTCCTGTATAAGGAAACACATTTTGTCCAAAATTTTTAAGTGATATGTCTTTGATTGTTTGAATGAAAACAACCTGGAACATGTAAAGTTAAACTTTCGTAAACAAGAATCTGAAAATCATGGTGGACATCGCCTGTTAATAAAAAAATTGGTAAGAGTGTTAATTTTAAGAATTGAGGTTTTTACGGTGGTGAGTCTGTCTTCTGAGTTGTTGCGCCGTGTACTATACCAGACTGTTAATTTATTAATTAGTATTAATTTTGAGGTGCCAATGTATATGGCCCAAGGATCTCTGGTTTCAAGGTATGACGTGAATGCTGTCTGTGCTTGGCCCCCCAGTATGTCTGTATGCATACACAGATATTAAGTCTGTCACAGCAAATAGTACTTTCTGTTGCAGGTAGGATATTGCGACCAATTCTTTGAAGATCATTACTGACTTTCTACCTCCGAAGTAGACGATGCGTAAGTGCAGTCATACCATTTTCCATTATATGGGCTACATTTGTGGATGCAGAAGAAAAATATAGAGGTTAATTTAGCAAATTTTAAAACATAAGAATATAAATTGTACTGTGTGTACATTTGTGGATGAGTGTTCATTGATTAAGGCGAAGGATGTTCTGAATGTCTGTCCATGTTTCTTTTTTATTTTTGTTTACAATGAAATGTATTAAACATTGGTGTGTATTTTTGTTGGATTTTGCTAAAATGTACATGTTGGATATTGTCCATTTGCTTTGTAATAGTCTGTATTGCTTTATTCTTTATGCCTGATAATTGTTTAGGTTGAATATATGCAAGGTTTGGTGTACTGAATGAAATCATCCAGAAATTCTGTTAGCAGTATATTTATATATTCATCATAGCTGCCCCACTTCAGTACATGACTTTCAATGGCAAAATGTCATATGTGTAGCTAAGTTTAAAATTAATTTTATTCAGGCTTGGTGTTATAAGTACTGGAGCATGATGCTTTTGCACATTTTTCAAATCTTTAACTGGAGACTGGCTCTCCTGACTGAAATTTGTCACGGGCTTCCTCAGTGTTTTCAGTAAATGCTGAGACCATACCTTGAATTGGGCCATGACTGCTTCCTTCCATGTCCTTTCCCGATATTCATTAATCATCCCTTAATTTGATGCTGTGAGTGTCATTAAGTAAACTACAGATAAATCATTACAGAAATAAAAAACAAAAATTACTGATTTATGAATGTCCATTGTCCGTGAAACATGGAACAGCACGTAATGCAATGTAGCGTCTGCGCAGCAAAGTAGAAATCAAGCTATACATCACGTCATCCCTGGTGGAGGCGGAGGATCTTTCTTCTAGCCGCTGCATCCAGACCGGCTCCGGGGCCCGCCGAGCCCCCTGTCTAGTGGGTACCGGGGTCCTTTCCTGGGGGTTAAGCAGGACCAGTGCGTGACACTGGACCACTAACCCCCATCTAGTGCTGGCGTCAAGAATGAGTAGGAGCTATACCGACTCTCCCCCCAAGCTCCTACGTGGCGTATAGTAGGGCAGCTTTAGTTTACTTTACTTTTTATACACATTCTTTTTCACTGTTTAGCTTCCAGTTTTCTCAGTTTATGAATTACATTACACTCCTCATATGCTTGATGGAGAGAAGACAATGGGTATGGAGAAAACTGCATAATAATGAGCTTAAAAATTTGTACTCCTCCCCCAATATTGTAAGGGTGAATAAGTCGAGAAAAATGAGATGGGCGGGGCGTGAGCAAGCAATGTGCTGCTGCTGGACAGGCAAGATGAACTTGGTGAGCTTGCAATGGATACTTATCAAACGACAAATAACGTACTGCCCAGTAATTTACCTAGATTTTAGACTCTAAAATGGTTCAGTGTTGTATAAAGCTTTTATTCTGAAGTGAATCACATTGTAATGGAACCTCTTATGTTTGTAACGATAATAATTGCATACAACATTTTAGTCAGCAGATCTCAATGGAAGAGGCTACTTGGGAGACCTAGGGCTATGTATAAGGATAATATTAAAGTGATTCTTAAAGAGAATACATATAAAAATGAGAACTGAATTCAGATGGCTCAGGAGACGGTCCAATGTTATGCTTTTGTGAACACACAAGTAAACCTGTGAGTTGTGTAAAACCTGGAAATTTATTGACCAGGTGAATGACTGATTTGCTCAAGGAAAACCCGGTACAATGTAGTTTGCTGTTAGTAGCAGTAATATAACTTTCCCTGTCTTGGTTCTACACATTTGTCAAACACAAGGTGGTCAGAAATTAGGGATCAGTGATTGCAGGCCCCTTCTAGCAGTCTGACCACGGTAGTGGAATTCAGTGTTGCCAACTATATTTCAATGCTGCAAACATGTTTAAACACTTTGATGTCATATTCTATAATAAATTTCAGCCCATCCTCTTAGTTTATTTGGTGGCAATGATGTCAGGTTTACGTGTGAATGACTAATGTTGCAGTCTTAAACAAATGATTCTGAGATTTTACCAGTCCTTGAAAATCAAGAATACATTTCCCCTCTAAAATTGTTTCTTGAGAATTTCCCCACTTCCACATACCATCTGCAGTCATGCCCAGATTTATTAAACATTTCACAAGTTTTTTCCCCTAAAAATATTATATATGTGATTTGAGGTTTTCATGGCAGTGAAGATTGGAAATGTGGTCTTATAGATTGTGGCATTAATATTGTGGGTTGTTACCAGTGTTCACAAGAGCCTGCCACTGGTACCTGTCTTCAGCCAGATAAATCCAATCCACCCAATTTTCCACAGTGTATATTATGCTCGTTTCATTTTACAAACCAATTTTCAAGAGGGGCTCAGTCTTCAAGGCTGAATATTATCGTCCATGTCTTACCAGTTACGGGCTGTGTTACAAGTTAACCTCCCGACTAAATACACTGTATAAAACATTTTATGAAATTATTGTTTCTTGAATGATAACAGTATGATTAAACCATGAAAACCATATTCTGAATTTTTTATCAAGTCCTTGAATGTCTGGTACATATTTAAAAAATATATATTACTAACATTGCTAAAGAAAACTAGAGAAAATATTGATCAACAGACATTAATTAATTTGCCTTATCTTCTTTTTCTTCTTCACAGATGAAACTCTTTTATCCATTCTGATTCCAAATACCATTCTTAAGATTACATTTTAAAATATAACATTGATCTATCCAATACAATAAAGATGTCCATAGTCCATCCTTCCTTTTAATTGTCATTCATAGAACAATTAGATTTTGAGTTTTGTGAAATTATTACAATTATTATACACATTAATCTTCATATATTACAATCAATTGCCCTGGTCATGTGTTGAAATCTACCAAGAGGTGCCTAATGAGACATCTCATTTGCTGCAGTTAACCATAAACAAATGAACACGCCAAGCATTATTTATAAGTGTGTAGTTGTGCAATGCAGATTATTTGTATAACCATATGTAACTCGTGTACATGAAGCTAGCATAATTGTCTTAATGAATATTAGTAGATTAAAGTCAATGTTACAGTTTCTATCTTACTTCATTGTTGTGAATTATACAAAAATATAAACTATCCAATTAATTAAATAAAACAAACTGATTTACATTGCATGTGTCATTTGTCATCATTTCTAGTTGTCTATAACAACTTTTAAAAGTTGTCCATACTCCAGTTTGAAGTACACTATTTCCAAATACATTTTTATATTGTGTCTTTATTTGGTTTTCTGGGGCGACATGAGTCTTGTAGGTGATTACCAACATGGAGAAACATCTCCATCTTCTGGGTTGCAGTGAGTCACAGTGGGGTTATAGGAGGAGGAGATCAATGGAAATGGATCGAAACAATTGTATAGGCCTGCTTCAAGGTTCAGAAGGTAATAGTCTAGACATTTCAAGATATATCCATGCTATGCAGGCTACCAAAAAAATATCATCATAAGGGTTATATATATTTATTTTATTTACTCTTGTTATATATACACAGAGAGAAACAAATCAGTAATACTCAACATTTATTTTTTATCAAAATACAGTGACAAGGATTTTTTTACAGTTTTGCTTTCTTTGTAGCAGGTCCTTGACCATCCTCCTCATCTGCATCTCCAGATTTTTGAAATATCGGTGTTGGTTGGGTCTTGGAGTATGCAGGAGACACCCAATATGGATTTTCTTCTGCTTCCTTTGCGTACCGCAGGATAGCCTCCCTGGGATCCTGGTCATCTTCCACTCTCTTGCTCAGACCCAGGTTACGGATCACATATGAGCTTAGCGTTCCGCCAGACGTTGCTACCCGTCCCCCCTGACCGGATGAAATAGGCAGGTCTGGTCTACGCGACTTCACGGGGTCCTGCCTGTCCCGTTCCATCTGCTTCCTGATCGATTTGGGTTTCTCCTGCCGAAACATTGGCAGAGCGTGCGGTGTCAAGATCTGCTGTGCTGCCACCACCTCCACTTGCTTCGTCTTCCTCCGAGTCTTCACCACGCACAGCTTGGCACCGCGGGAGCTACGGCTGCCATCATAGTAAACTTTTACGGCCCCGTTTCCACAGCCCACGAATATCTGGTTCAGCTTTGGGTGCCAAATAGCCTTGATAACATGAGAATCTGTCACAGTTATGTCTGTGACTTTATCAAAAGTCTTTGAATTATAGAACAGCAATCTGCCACCAGTCTCTCCCATTTTAACACTCTCTCCTGTCAGTATCATGGTATCATCGGGGCTGAATGAGCAGTCAGTGGTGGCGTAACGGGAAAATAGATTGTCTACAACATGAAGAGGTTTCTTAAATGCCCTCAGGTCCCAAATTTTCAATGTGTTATCACACCCCCTTGTTGCAAGCAGACTGCCAATGAAAGAAAAGGCGATGCACGATGTCTCTGTTTTTGACTGGTGGGCTCCTCGTAGCAGCATTGCCGTGTTCACAAAAAGCTTCCTGTGATCCCACATCTGCAAAGACCCATCAAAGCAAGCACATGCTACAAGATTACCATCTCGGCTGTATGCACACGCAGTAGGAACTGTTTTGAGTCCATCTTGTGCACGTGTCTTCATGACGGCCTTGTGGAGTTCAGGTTTCTCTACATTCCATAGTCGACACGTACTGTCTTCTGCACAAGTCAGAAACTCTTCCCTGATACGAGGATGCCAACATCCGCTGTTTAATGGCGCTGTGTGACCCTTAGTTCTTGCCATATCAGTAATATATTGGTCTCCCTTTATACATTCTGCAACTTCAAACCCATCGCGATCAAGAACTTTGGCCTGAGACATTCCAGATATCACAAGAATCACGTCCCCCGTCACAGAATACTGAAGACATTTTATTGGATGGTTTTCACAAGGCTGAAGTGTCCGGAAGCTCTGCATTGTGGCATCCATGCCTGCAAAGTCCCAGAATCGGACATCATAGTCTACAGATCCTGTTGCCAATCGGGCACCAGCAGGATCTACTGCTACTGCTACTACTGCTTTTGTACCATGAAGCATAGACACTTCATCACCAGCTGGGATTTTACTCTGCAGAGTATCCTTGCTTTCGTTATCATCTTCATCACTGCTGTCTTCACTACTGACATCGCACCACTCTTCCTTACGCTTGGTAACATTTGTAATGTTTTCATCAGTATTTAGCAGATGTTCTGGTATAGGAGGGCCAATAAAGTCGTCATTGACGTCGTCGACTTCTGTTTGTTCACTTAAATGGCCTTCAGTTTCTTTGTCCTTAATAGAAAGTGGGCCAATTTTTTCCACTGCAGAATCAATGTTCCCTCTCATCCTTTCTTTCACTAATTTTACAACTTTTTCGACTATGTCTTCAACATCAGGCTGCCTACATTTTTTTCCAAACCCTCCAAATCCCATGATCTCCTGCATACGTTGACTTTCAGGATCTGTTTCTGATACAGTGTCTGTTTCTTCACAGCTGACATTTAAGTCCACATTGCTTTTCGAGGGCTTATTACCAAATTTACCAAAACCTGTCGACTGTTCATCGGCACTGATGCTGTTTTCGCCTACTTCCACCTGTGGTGTACCAAAAGTACTTCCAATTTTACCAAACGTTATAATCTTCTTAGCTTTGTCCATAGTAAATGAAACGAAGTCCAATGTAAACCTAACGTCCAAACGTAAACATTTGTCACTTTGGTATTGAGCGCATGCCATCTATAAATTACTTGTAGAATTTGTAGTTCTTGGTCGGGCGGGATAACGAAACGTGCACCGCTGTTTCGAAAGGCTGTGGTAGGATATCGACTAGGTTTTTCGTTGTAAAATAATAGGCGAAGGTTTGCAGGTTAAAGTAATGTAACTTTGTCAAACTTAAGAAATAATGACCCAAGTATCATCAGGGGAAACTGAAGCAGTTACTAAGAAGCCTGAAACAACAAATGAACATGAAAAACCCAGAGAAAAGAAGGAACGTGTTCGTCCTCCAACGAAGGTAATGGCATTTGAACGTTAATGTATTAATTATATTAGCTGAGCTTCGAAATGCCAACGGATAACGTCGACCATGCATATATATTCCATTCATCAGTGTAATATTTCGTAATTAACTCATGTAAGTCCCACTGAAGAATACACAGCTTTGTGAAAGTTTTTTTCCCCCAATCATTCAGATAATCTGGATGAGTATAATGTTCTCCTTCTTTTAATATTGCAGGTTGTGATACGGAGATTACCCCCATCGTTAACAAAAGATGCATTTGTAAATCAAATATCGCCTCTTCCAGAATATGACTATTTTTATTTTGTACGCCCTGACAAGAGTCTGGGACCATTTGCTTTTTCCAGAGCATACATTAATTTCACCAAGCAGGAAGATATATTTACGTTTAAAGAGCAGTTTGACAACTACACTTTCTTGGATAAGAAAGGTAAGGTTAGCTGACAAATATCTCGATTCTTGAGAAACAGTAATGTAGTAGAAGCTAGATGAATATGTTTTGTCATACTTGTAGATGTTTTGCCCCAAATTTAATAAATTTTAATGTCTGTCTTGCTACTAAATCATAGCCTTTCAGTATTATACTTCTGTCTTCGCAAATGTTCAGTATGTAGCCATCGATATTTATGTAGCTTCTTTGTTTTATGTTCTGTTCTCATACAATAAAGTTTAAAACACTGATTTAATTATCCCAGAATGAAAACATTTGTTTCTGTGACAGGCAATGAATTTCCAGCTGTGGTGGAGTTTGCCCCATTCCAGCGTTTACCCAAGAAGCGCCTGGGTCGAAAAAGAGATCCCAAAATGGGCACATTGGAGGAAGACCCAGCATATATCAGCTTCATTGAGAGTAAAGCAACTAAACCTACTGAGACTGGGTCAACTCAGCATTGTTCTCTTGAATATTTTCCTCCACCTGAGAGTAAGTGATTGATATGATTTTAAAGGTCTTTTTGTTTTTGTACCTTTGCGCCTTGGCAACCACAGCTTTCGAAATTACTCTTGCATGTACTGTTCTCGAGGTTGAATCATGTAAAATTAATTTGTTTTAAATATACTTCATATTTTAATGTCATTGTTACATTTGTCATATGTATAAGCCAAAGAAAAGTGTTTTTAATTTGAGATTTAAGATTCTCACACCAGTGAAATGTTGATGTTGGTCTCCTGGCTTATAGTTCTTTGTGAACTTAATATCTCATCCTTCATTTATTGCTTGTTACGCTTTTGTTAATTCTCCTTCATTGTACCAACATTTGTAACTTTTCCTAACCCTGTCTTTACTCTATCAACATTTTGTTGTTTATGGAATTATCTTGTTTAATAGAAAAGAAAATTACTACTACACCACTTCTGGACTTCGTGCGGCAGCGCAGAGCAGAGAGGCAGCGTATGCGTGACGAACGGAGAGAAGAACGGAGGAGGAAGGAACAAGAACGGAAGAGACTGAAGGACGCCGACAGAGACAGGCGCCGGGGAACTGTGAAGCCTGACACTGGCTCTTCTCGGGAAACGGCGTCCGATTCTGTTCTCAGGGTAAGAACGTTCATTTGACCTAATGTAGTCAGGTATGTAATGGCGATTGTAATCAGGGCTTCTGAATGTTGCAAGAAAGCTGTGAGATCACTTCAAAGTGTGTGGTAAGATGAACGTTGTCTTCTGTAACCACTATGCATGTGTGAATGCGGTGTTTGTGCACCTGCACGCATTCACGTGTGCGCATGTGCACCTCAATATTTTTTTAACCAGTTGACGTGAACATAATGCCATAAGCTCATCTATTTTAATTACGTACTCTGAATAATATATGGAAGTTATTGGTAAAAGATCTTCAGAATGAATGTGTTCCTTTTTATTAGGGTCTTTTAGGTGCATTTTCAGGATCCTTGCAGAGTGTCTGTTAAGTTTGCTTGGACCCTTCATTTGTACATAACAGCTTGAGAGCAGATGGACAGATTTCCATGAAATTTGGTATTGATGTTATGCCATTAGAGACTAGCCCAAACTCATACTTTGTATTTCAAACGGTCATTGATACCAACATGAAAAATGGTCGGTGTCATGGGTTGAGAGGGTATTCGTCTACGAAGATAGAATTATCGTCTTTTGCAGTGACATAATGTAATTGCCCGTGGTCCTGTCATCTCACTTGATGGCGTATAATAACTAGTAAATGACTGGATGGATTTTCACAAAATTTTGTGTGGATGTTTTACTCTGAAATTCTACTTTTTAATTCCCTACAGTTGATATAGTACCCGTCTGACAGATTCTCAAAGTTGTAACGCGGGAGGATGAACATGACAGCGAAAGCATTTAGAAGAATATTTACTTTCAGCAAAAACAGGGCAGAAGTTTTTTAACTCTCCGAGTGTGGCAGAGAAGCTGGGTAGGAAGATTTGAGTTAGCAGCCCCTCACACTCATGAGGCTGGTCGAGTCACAGAAGAAATATAGATGCTCTTTTATTTTATGGCCGTACAGAGTGGGTCGGGGTCTCACTCCTTAACAGCGGAAGTTACCTTGGCCTCTCTGTCTTGTGTGGCAGGTGTTACGTAACCCTGAGCACGAGAAAGAGGTAAAGGATGATGGCGGCAGAGGGGGAGGAAGCAAGGAGGGCAGGGATAAAGTACCACAGCCAGGGACCAAGAAGAGGGAAGAACAGCAACGTACCAACAGAAACAAGGACCATGAATGGAAAGAAAAACCATTTCAGGAGACTAGGTGAGTGCGATAGAACTGCAGTTAATGTTGCGTATACATATGTGTTGACAATTTTGGGATTTGTTTTGTATGGCTGTGTAAAATACTGTCTTTAAAACAAGATTATAAATTGCAAGTGCGTCAAAACAGCCTTCAGAAAAGTTATTTCTTTACTTACGCAGATTTATTTATGTTTCCTCCAAATGAAGACTGGATTAACCAACATTTCAATTAATCGTACTATTTTGATTTGTATCAGCAGTCAGCCATACACAGAATTTGAAGGTGTGTCTCATGGTATGAATAAAAAGTTATAAATCTCCAGGAATTGATCAGATTCCAGCAGAATTAATTAAAGCAGGTGGCAAAGGGTTGCATATGAGGATCCATAAGCTTATTTAGTTAATTTTGGGTAAGGAAGAGATGCCACAACAGTGGAAGCAATCCATAATTATTCCTATTCATAAGAAGGGGGACAAGACTGGGTGTGGTAATTACCAAGGAATTTCTCTGCTATCGACCTCGTACAAAATTCTGTCAAACATTCTTCTGGCGAGATTAACTCCATATGTGAATGAAATTATTGGGGATCGTCAGTATGGCTTCAGACATAACAGATCAACAATTGATCACATCTTTTGCATCCGTCAGGTACTACAGAAAAAATGGGAGTACAGTGGGACCATACATCACACGACATTATATCCCAAAAGAGAGTTATCTTCATTCTTGCTTCCTTGAGAACCTGAAATCTCACCTACAGAATTTTACATCTTATTGTATGAATAGTCATTCACAAAAAATTTGTGTTATGAAAAGGTTTGAAGGTATTACAGTTTGATTCTTATCTTATTTTACAGGCAAAGGGAGAATAAAGGACAGAGTAGTATCAAGAGCTACCGTGACGACCGACAGAAGCAGATGGAAATAAGAGCACAGCGGAGACTACCTGATGATCAGCGTAGGAAAACGAGTTTTGAACGTGGACAAGGACATGTGAAAATGATTGGGTCTCACCAGAGTCTTGAATCAGAGAAAGGCCAAGGCTCTTCTAAGACATCTGATACCAGGCGAAGTCAAGAATTTGACCACAGTTCCACCAAGTCATCTGACACCCATCGAAGTCAAGAATTTGAACGTAACCAAGGATCATCTAGGACTAATGACTTGCACAGACATCAAGAATATGATCGCCAGACACATTCCAACAGAGATATGGAGCATCGAAAGCATTATCAGTCTAGTGACCTAAGAAAAACGCCAAATGAAAGGTTCCAAAGTCACGTCAAAGATAGTGAAAAACCAAGTAAAGATAGTGAACGACGAAAAAGCTACAGGGACTCAGAATCCAAAAGAATCCAAGGTTATGCTAGAGATGTTGACCAGAAGAAACATTTCTATAACGTGAAAACATCTCGAAACTATAATGAAGCTGATTCTAAGAAAACTTCTTCGGATCACAGGATTCATTTTAAAGACAGTGATCAGAAGGTCATTAAGGAGCCACTGGAGGAAAATGTGAAAGCACAGAAGCAGGATGAGTCTAAGAAATGGGAACAAATGGGTGCGAAGCCAAAGAGGAAAATTTCACCTGATACAATGAATAAACCAGAGTCAAAATCAGACAGAGCAAAGGAACAAACATTGAATACTGAGAAGCCAGTAAATGAAGATCCAGACAGGATAAATTCTTTAGACCCTGCAGATCAGAAAGATGACCCAGAAAATAAAATGGAAGAGAAACAAGAAACTCTGAAGAAAGGAACGGAAAGCGATTCAGAGGAACAGACACAACAGAGGAGGTCCTTAGAATCAGAAAAAATGTTTACCACTGAAAACACGGGTAAGAACAAGCAGGAGTCCTTAACTCCAGAGTCGGCGGAATCCGAAGACAAGGCGAGGGCTGAAGTTTCGGGCGAATATAAAGAAAATACGATACTTCGTACAGGCCACAAGTACGGAGCGAAGCCGTCCAGGAGGAGGGGTTCCCTCGATTCCAGCGATCATGAAAGTGAGGTTCAGGGTAACAAAGGCATGAGCAGAAGCGCAACAGGTAGTGACTGGAGCGTGGACTCAAAACTGAAACGTAATCATTCCCTTGAACTGGACATGGATGCAGGGCAGAGAGATGACATTTTGAAAGGTTCCGTCTTGTTAGAGAAAAGTTCAAAAGAGAGAAGAAAAGATGAAGACAAAGATGATAAAGATAGATCCACAGATGCCTCTGGAAATGGGACTGACGGAGAACACAAGAGAGACCCGAGAGTGGAAAGGAGAATTCGTAATAAGGTAAATGTGTTGGTAGGCCGTAGGCTACAAATTTTTATTATGTTCAAAGAAACTAATTTTAATTATGCTGATTAAGCCAGAATTTGAATAGTAAAAAATATAATTTTTGTCAGAATATACTTATTTTATATCCAGGTATCATGGTTAATATTATTGTAAAAACTTTGAGTCATGTTGCCTGTTGAAATTTCCAGAGATCTTTCACTACGCAGCACAGAACCACAATATTGTCTTTATTTGGAGTTGGCTGTTTTAATTCCAAGACCTCAGGAACTGACTCTTGTCTTTAACTTTAAAATAACTACTACCATCCATTCTGTCCGTGGTTTGATTGTGTAATCATGTAGTCATATTTGGTGAGAGCACTAATTACAAGCTCCTCATTTTGTGAATATTCTCCATCTCTCTGATCCTTTCTTCCTTTTAGGTCGAAATATTTGTCTCAGCACTGTTTTCAGACGTAACAGAATCAGTGATCTTTTTGTTAAGGATGGAATATAAAGTAAATGTATTTTTTACTCGTTTTGTTGGAGTCTTACAGTGATTAATGCTATGCATTTCTATAGGATCGTCCAAGCATAGAGATATATCGTCCAGGCATGGGTCGATTTAGTCTTCAGCGGAAGGAACGCGAAAGGGGCCCTGGTTCTGCTCCAGGGACAGCAGGCAGCAGTATGGAACAAGAGTCCCCATCAGGCAGTCCCTCACCAACCCCAACAAACTCCGCTCGAATTACCACTTCTACCAAAACTACCAAGGGTGGAAATGAACTACGTTCTATGACTTTCAAACGCAGTGTAAGCCGCGAAAAATAAAATCTGGTGTCAAAGAAGAATCGGACCCTGTCAAATCCATTTCGTTAGCTACTCGGCCATCAGATGCAAGCAAAATGTAATTCATCTTTGTGTTCTTTGGTTCCAATATGTTACTCTGTGTATGAGGTACAGTCTTCTAAATTTCTTTTGGAAGTAATTCATCCACAACAATTATAGAATATAGTCTTTTTGTTACATGTTGATTATTAGGATATTTACATCATATTGATTTGAAATGTTCAGTATCCTGATTCATATAGAACAGACAGCAATAACATGACCCTCTTTATTGTATAAACTGTACTCTTTGATTCATGGTGGTTTAACATTTGGCCTGAAGAAACTGGGAATCATTGCTTATATCATGTCATGAAGTAAATGGCATTTATTTGTGTAATTTCATTTCCATATGTCTTCATAATATGCTGCCGTGAGACATTTTCACCTTTACATACGCATTCGAATGTTATAGAAACAGATTACGGACAAAAGAAATCATAATCATTCATCATTCATGCTTTGAAACTGTGTAATTGATATGATATTAAAATTTGCTGTTAATTCTGTAATGTGTAACATGAATTATGATTGTGTCACAGTGTTAATTTTTTTTTTATAAAAATTACTTCATTACTTTCATAATCAAGAATAAAATTATAACTGCATGCACTGTACAAAACTATCCTTAACCCATTTACCTCTCTCGTTAGGTTCAAGTGACATTTACGTTATACCAAAATCTTTTGACATGTTCTGGTCACTGAATGTGAACTTCTGTTATTCATAGATGACTTCCTACTACATAAATATGAACATTAGAAACACATAACTTCAAAATCCCTTTCTGATTCTGAATCACGGGCATTGTGAAACCATTTCATTACATAGCGTGTACAGCGAAAGGGCAGTCAGCCATATATCTGTGTATGTAGAATCAGAAGTGGTTGAGTTAACCCTTATTGGTCAGTATGAAACATTTTCTTGAATTGGGAAGGGTTTTCTCTACATTGGGACAGTTTTTGGTAATGTGAATTGTATTGAACTGATTCAAAATAGGTTCCACTGGCATGCTTTACATTATAATGCAAGCCAACATGGCAAATACAAACTGCAAATTAAATGTGTGATGAACAGCACACAAATACATTTACAAGCAGATATCGTCTATCGACTTTTTATATTTTCTGCTACAGCAGATGGAAAGAAGTAACTTACGTGTGCAGTTTGTTGCAGACAAACTCCCAGTATCAAATGTTTGTAATCTGTTCAGCTGTTCTCGGGTTATTGCATTTGTAAAACGGATGGGCCACCAAAGCTATTTTTATGGAGTTCAGAGCTGAATGTTGGAAGCAAATAAGCAAACAGACGGTGTGAATGAGTTCATATTAAACAAACTCAAGCTCGACATAGGTTAACGTACATTACGCGCCATTCTTTTTTTGCACATGGCTGAAGCAGGAACAGGAATCAAAATTTAATCCCGGTAGTGATCACAAAGAAGAAGGTAAGATCGCATGTTCTTTTATAAACATAATATGTTCCAGCAAAGTGTTGAACACATCCGGTATTTAATTGTGTTGTTTGGTTTGACTATATATTGGTATATTTAACATCTATCGGAAGGTCTGGCGTTATTTACTCTTTCTATTATGTTCCTGGCCCTCCCATAACAAAATTATTGTTGGAAGCCCATTATGACAAATTTGAACTGTGCACAACTGCAAAGCGCATGTAGATTGTGTTTAGCCAGTGACTCTAAGAATGTTGATATATTTAGTGCAGAAGGCCAAAGGCAGAGGTATCAAGACAAAATTTGGAAACATTTTTCGGTGTGGGTAAGACGGAGTTATGTGTACGTTTTTCATTGCTTTGATTGAGTTACGTGCATGAATGCCATAGCCTATCTTGGCCAATTATTTTATACTGGGTTAATTTAAAAAGTTTCACTCTATGTATGAAACTTTCGATGGTATCGTTAACGTTGTGTACCTTGATGGGATGTGTTCCATTAATTACATCTGACTTTCTAAGCCTAACTGTGTAGTCTCAAGTAGTGAGGTTATTAGTGTCTTTTCTATACAGCAGCACTGCTCCATGTATGTTTTTGTTGCTTCATAACAGAAAGTGATCGAATTGGACTAAGTTCCACATCAGTGCTACAGTTATTGGAATGTCAGATCTCATTGGTCTTATTTACAAAATGATCCAATTACTCTGTAGTTCTAGACAATTCTGTGGTATCTTCAAAGATTATACAGTGTCTTGATTTCATGTTGTTGAGTTCAGTTCAGCCAAAGGTTGGAATATCTCATCTGGATGGTGAGTCTTATTTGCCTAACATTTATCTTGCTTAATTTGCAGGTGGCATTAATTTTGCTTTTTAAGATGGAGACTGATAATTTTCCTCTGAAACTTCCTTCAGCCATCATATCACAATACAATATGATAAATATAAATTACAAGTTTTGCAAGCATTATTAATATGCACTCCCAGAATTTGGCTTAGACATGTAAACATTTTTTGAACATAACCTCAATACTGCTGGAGATTGCCTTCTTCTGTCCTTATTTGCGTGTAACATAATATTCAGCCGTTGTTCAGAAAGGGAAGTACAAATATGGATCTCATTTGTTTCAGGTCTGTGTTGAGGATAACTTACCCAAAGCCATATGTCAGTTATGTTGTTGCCGACTAGAAGAATATCATTCATTTGTGTTAGATGTAGAAGAAGTTCAACAGAACATCCATAAAATGGTTTCTGCACTTAATCATGATGCCAATAACATTGCTGTGTCTCACACTGAGCCGCGTTATGAAAAAGTTCCAAGTTTGAATAAAAGTGTGAATAATTCAGGACCTTCCAAAGATATTCAGTCAGATGTGCCTGATCTCATAATTAACAGTGATGTTAAAACTTGTAAAAATCCTTCAGATATGTTTGAGTCTTTTAGTTCACATGTTGTGTTATCAGATGTACATGACAAGTGTTTTGTGGCACCTGATACAAAATCAGAAGGCATCTTCTTTGATGTGGATTCTATTAAAGTTGAAGAAGGTCCATTGCAGACTGTGAATTATATCTGTCCTGATGTGAACACCGCACAAGAAATTTCAAAAATTGCACATTGTGATTCTCTTTCGAGTGGGTTGGTGTCTGTCCAGATGCCCAGTGATAAAAATTGTGACTTTTTGGCAGATACAAGCAATATTTCTGCTAGCGATAGTCTGAGTCGGACTGTTCAGTGTAGGAAGACCAAGAAAACTACGGCTAAAACTGTAGTAGCAGATAATAATTTAATAAAGAAATGTGAGCATTCTGTGTCAGAAGGAGAAGGTGATGCAGAAGAGGTAGAAGTTACGACACCTACAAAGTTTCAGAACAGCGTAAGAAATGTTGCACTAAACAGTGGATCAGGAGATACTGGAAAAGAAGGTGAAAGGTATGTTTCTTATTGCGTGGAAAAATGTCTCCATACATGTAGGATTTGAGGTTCTCACAGCAGTGAGTTTGAAGATGGCTGCCTTCTCGGTTGTAGTGCCTTGTAGTCTGGTAGAAGTTTACCATATGTTCAGAGGTCCTTGCTGTCTCCATCATCAGAGCAATGAGTCACTGAGTACACTCAGCCCTACAACCCAGAAGATTGCGATGTTATCTTTATATATAATTGTGTTGTGAAATTTTACAATTTGGTGACCAGTTATGGCTATTTCGCTCATAAAAACATTAATGTAGGAAAATTTGGTCACCAGTAAATTTGAATTTGGTAGCAGATTAAATTAGGATAGTTGAAATTCATGTGTTTTACTTTATGTTTCTCTAGTGTCCATTAAGCATAGATTAAAACACAAACTGAGGCAAGTTTGGTAATGAACGATGTTGTGTAGCCGTTAAGCCTTGTGGTCTCCTTAATTTTAAGTGCTGCCCGATTTCCAACCACCTTCACTTCTATAGCTGTTAGAATTATGCAGTGTATAGTGATCACATTTGTTTTTGGCCGGTGGAATTTTCAAGGGGAATGCTAGGAGCGAGTCACTTGTACGATAGTACAATGTTTCGTCTGCCTCCAGGAGGGACGAGGAGCTTGTCGGACTGAAAGCCCAAACAAGTACACTGACCGTGCCACCTCAGGTACGCAGAGTGGGCCCGTCCACAAGCTTCTCCACCGGCCGAAAACTACTGCGTTGACTATAGTAAAGTGTGACAGTCTGTATATTGATTTTTCTTTTGTAATTTATTTCCGTGATTCTCGTTGCAGCATTTCTATGGATGAAAATGATTGTGTGGGAGAGTCTGAAATCACTGTGAATGCTCATTCGAACGAAGCTGCTTTGAACACGCAGTTGGATGAGTTCTATAACTACAGTTGCAGGATATGTGAACCTGGCATATCTGTTTTTTCTAGCTTCTTTCTTCTCACTAAACATTACAGGTGTGTTTATTTATTTGTAGTTTATTTAATGATGCTTTTTCAGAAGCTCAGACTGTATAGTGTCCATACAAGTATGTTAAAGTACAGTAAGGCACTTCTAATAGTCCTTTTGTGTTATGTAATGTAATCATAGGAAGAGAAGCCATAGAAAAATTTTGAGCTACAGGTAACACTCATGAAACTTTTATGAGATATGAAGTTTTTACAGTGGTGTAATTGTAGGTTGCGTTCTTATGTGTTGTGATGTTGCGTAGTCATTTATGTGATCACCAACGTTTCTGAAGATCATACTGCCTCCTGACCTACAGAGATGATATATTCCTCCAAAATACTGGGAACCACTTTCAATACTTCATCACGTAACACACAAGACCACAGTTAACATGGTTTGATTTTTCAGATTAAAACACAACACAAGAGGCTACGTTCTTTGCTGTGGCCGTAAGTTGTTGTCAAAGCCGCTTCTGGCAAGTCACATGATGAAGCATCTGCAACCAAGCATTTACAAGTAAGAAGTTTTAGTCTTGATTCATTTAGTGATATTTATGAGATGTGGTGTTGTCAGGGCAGTAAGGATGTCGAGGTGGGTCTTTTTGTCAACTTGTAGGTAGGTAGTAACATTTTGGAAGAGTTTATTGCGTCTACCTTAAGGCCACAACATGGCATTTTAATCCAGGAGATCAATGTCGCCATTTAATCACACTCAGAATGCAGTGTATCACATTGTGTGTCCACAGCAAATTCTGATTATCCGCTTTACAAATGGACTGTTACATGTGGTTTGGTTGTGATAAATGTAAATGTACTAGTTTGTGCCAATCACATTGATACACACTTTTCTTATGACTACTGATATAATTCAAACAGAAATCATCGTGCTTCACCACCAATCGTGTTCTCTGCATGACAGAATTGGAAATTCATGTTGAAAGTTTTATAATTGTTCATATGCTATTAAACAAAATATTTAAAATAGTACTCCAGAAAGTACTGGGCAGCACCGTGTATGTTTTACACATAATTGGAACCTGGACTTTTGGTTCCTGTTGATGCCAGTCTTTTTTTTTTAAACACAAAATGTTTGTGTCCATTTTTCAGGTGTCGTGAGTGCGGGAAGGAGCTTGCCAATGAGGTGACATATGAGGAACATATGATCCGTCACTTGCCAGAGCATAAACGTCCATTCAGGTGTGAACTCTGTCTTAGAGGATTTGCGAATAAAGGAAAACTTCAGTATCACATGAGAATTCACCTTCCAGATGAAGAAAAATTGGCATCTGTCTGTGATACATGTGGAAAGAAGTGAGTTCTGCTTGTGTTCGTTGTGGGTTTCCATGTCATTCATCTTTGTATTCCTTTTGATATTTGAGATTTTCGTGGTAGTAAGAATCTAGATCGTTATCTCCTGGTTTATGATGCCATACAGTCTTGCATATGGTTACCAATATTCTGGAGGAAAATGTCACCTCTCCTCTTTGACGCTGGAGAATGTATATTCCTCTAAAACATCAATAAATAGCTACAAGACAACAGGGTGATTCATGAGTTGGTACTGTGACCATCTTTATCTTTGTATTTACTGGATCACCTATGACCCATATCAAACTGAAAAAATTGTGGGAGAAGACTTATTGGTTTTGAGGGGTTGAATGGGCTTCGGCGCTGCAATGGAAATTGTAATAGATGAGAAATATTCCTCATAACATTGGCTGGAATTAGACTTTGGCTAATCTCATCTTTACTGATTATGTTGTAATTGTCATAGTAATGTATCCAATCAGTAAAGTGACTGGGATGAACTGGACAGTTTGAATTCAGTTTCTGGTTGACTCGAGGTTTCTTTTCACCACCATTCAAAGGCACTCTGTTGAGCCAAAGTAGCAGCTTTCTACCCACTGATAAGGTGACTGGAGCATGAAGCTTATATGGATCTTTAATGCAGAGGATGAAGTTTATTCCTAATTTATGATGTAAATCTCTATCTGCAGGTTTGCAAATGATAGAAGTTTACTTTCTCATCAACGATACGTACATGAAAAAGTGCGTGAAGTTATGTGCCACATTTGCCCCAAAACATTTCCAAGACAGTCGGCACTGAAGCAACACTTGTATACGCACGTGGCAAAGAGCGAGCAGAAACAATGCGATGACTGTGGCAAGTGGCTGAAAAATGATAGCACGTTTCAGTCGCACATAAAGAGCCATGGCAGTCAGCTGTTCAGTTGCCCGCACTGTGATAAGGTGTACAAATTTGCACAAAGTCTGCGAGCCCATCTGCAGAGTCACAGTGATGCGCGTCCGCACGAGTGTCTTGAGTGTGGCAAAACTTTCAAACTCAAGAAGGTGCTTATGGTAAGTACCTGCTTAGCAATAGCTTATCTGTACTATCAGCAAAAAGTTGTTTAGAGTGACATAAAGCCACAGATGTGCCATCCTTTTTTTGTCTTCATTCACTGTCTATTATCTGACAAAGTTCTTCATCATTTTATTAATTGTTTCCTTTATTATCTCTGCTTTATTAACAACAGTTCTCATATAAAATTATTCCATTATTAATTTAAATAATTTAGAGTAGTCAGTAACTATGTTTAACATAATCATTGTTACATGTGGGTTATTGTTTGCAGACTCACGCAGTACAGCACACAGGTGAAAGACCTTACAAGTGTCCACACTGCCCCCGGACATTTGCGAGTAGCGGCAACTATTACTCCCACAAGAAAAGAATGCATGCAAATGAGAAGGCAGGCAATGTAACCTGAACGGTGTCATTCGGAATGAAATCGGTATAGGTTGTACTGATCTTATTTATTTCGTTTTCTGTATAACAGAAATATCTGAGAAGGCAGTGGAAATGAATAAGCGTAGAAGAAATAACACTGACCAGCTTGAATGTGTCTGTAAATATGGGGTTAGCTTCTCTTGCTGGGGAAGTACCTGTTTTCTGTTTCAGCATAACATTATTGAAACCTGCATATTTTAGTAATTTGTGATTTAAATAATTGGCTAATTTTGAAGTAGTTGCGTGATTAGCTTTTTATTCCAGCAGCTTTTATGCAAATGCAAAGACTACCCCGTTATTATTATTATTATTATCCCATCTATTCACTACTTTATGGGGTATGTACTTCCATGTACCCGAGATAGACCGTGTCCCTAAGGTACATAGTGAAGCAGCTATTTCCGGGATACATATTGTTTTTAGCAAGTGACACATGTATTATATAATTTTATTTTATGAAAGCGTCTTTTAGATTATGTTTGAAGTTCCCAAAATGGCCGTCTTCTACAGTTTTATTATTATTATTATTAATTGAATAAATTCTATGTGCAAGGGTTCAACATCATCGCTTTAATTTGCAGGGTTAGGTGGTTATAACGTTGTGAATTTGAAAATAGGTGTAAACATGTAACTGGAGACAGTTCTGCCACTTGAATATAGGCAAAAACACAGCGATATGCAGCAACAGGTTTATTTCTGTGTGTCTGTGGGAATTTGTTTCTGATAGATCCGCCTTTTCGCATATTGGCAGACCGTATTAAAGTTATTGAGTAGCGTGATTAAAAAGCAACCCACACATTACATTATAACTCTTTTCCTGTATCAATCCTAACCACATCTTCATACAACACCCTATTATAACAGTTTTCTGGTATCTGATACATGGTATTATAACCATGTTATCTGGTATGCAATGGATGCTCTGCCTAATTTTAAATTTGGTATAAGTGTTACACCTTTAATAAGGGAAGTGTTCTGCGTACTTCTGGAATGAGGCATATTGTGGGAGAAAAACTGCAGCTGTAAATCTAGTCTTATATTGTGTATGGAAATTATTGTTGATTATTCTTAAAGTATGCAGAACATGTTCATATTTTCGAAAATTTGAATCGCGTTGGTAAATTACTGTATCTCCTGTTCGTTTCTTTATTATTTCAGGTTGAAGTTTATATGTTGGTATTACTGAGTTTCATAAATTATGTTCACAGGAGGGTACCGTATGTTACATTTAGTGAAAAGTACCAACATTAAAATTAAATGTAACTGCATTATTTCTATTATGTGGAGATATTACATTTTTTTATTTAACATACAGAACTACACGTTTCAGAGTATCATCGTCATTACAAAGTTGGTCATCTGTGGTGAGCGCATATGGCATTACACGCTAGCCAACGTAGGCGATCCAGTTTGGCTTTATTGGCATCGACAACTTTATAGCTTATTTCAGCATTATTAACCCTATTTTAAATATTGGTAGAGATATGTGCTATATGTAATGTTAAACATTTGTAATTTCTACAACAACAACGACCGAAAATTCTACTTTGAATTTTCATGTTGGGCATTCTGCATGGCAGTACAAATGGTTTCTTTTATCTATGGAAGTAGTTTGTGGACGCTGTTTACGGACAGTTTATGTTAGCGTTCACTAACGTTTGTATTAAATGTAATTATGAATGCTACTAGTCTTTATGTGTCGACCTGTAGGCTAGTATTGCACGCCGACATAGAAGATTCTTCTACATGGACTGATTTATATCGCTTGGTGCCATATCTGAGACAATCTCTCTCTTGTACTGTTTGTGGAAACTTATTAATAGAGCCACACACTCCAACAGAAACAAATTGTCAGCATCATGTGTGTAGATCGTGTAAAGGAGGAAGGAAAAAGTTGAAACCTTCTTGCAGCTGGTGTAAAAATTATGATAAATATGTAGAAAATGTTCAATTACGAATCTTACTGCAGTGTTACAAAAAACTGTGTGAGTATGTAACCAGCACTTCCATTTATAGGAGTCTCTTAGTATCTGCTGCGACTGCTGCCAGTAATGGAAATAGCGCAGTTGGGACTTCAAGTCTTATGGATCTTATTCAAGAAGGTGCAGGGTTTAAAGATGAGTACAAAAGTACAGGTGGTCTGTCAAAGTCTGCTTATAGCATTTTGCCTTGTGTTTATACTAGTACATCAACACAGACCCAAACAGCTTTAGCATCAGCAGCTGTAGGACCTGCTGATTCAAATAATGGATTGTCTGCAAGTGATCTTCAAGCTATTCGCAGTGTTTCCAATGGTTCTTCTCTGTATTCTGTTATGTATGCCGGGAGTGGGAACAAGATAACAATAAAGCGGAAACCCACTGATTTGGATGGTGAAGGAGTGGATGGTAGCGGTTGTAGTGGTGATGGACAAATTCCACCGGTATGTATTGCGTAGAGGAGGTGACTGTGTTATATGTTAATGGTATGCTATTTTATGCGTCGTCATGATATGTACATGAGTGATTCTGAAGTTTATTATTGTTTCAGAAGTTCAGATTATGTTACAGTTTCTCCATGAGTCCTTGGTAACATGACTAGAAATATTGAGAATTTGTGAAAATTTAATTAATTAATGTTTTAAACGAATGTAATATATTATCACTGGAGATCATAACCATCCTTCCCAGATGCAGCAGTGAGGTGGGATCAACTAACTGTCTCGATTGTTTTTGTATATTACGTTGCAAAGTGGGGATGTTTAAAGAGGTCAGTGGAAGGTATGCAGGAAGCATGCGCAATCTATAACAGTCTTAATTTTACTTATAACGTGTACCAGGTACTTGATTTTATTTGGTTTTCTTTTTGCTGTATAGCATCATCCATTGGACAAGAACATGCAGGTTAGATCTTACATTGTTGACAACAGTCTGCTAGAAAATCAGGTGTGTGACATTTGATGCAATATGAGTATTGGTTGTTGGAATAGGTTGGGGCAAGAACTTTTATTTGCTCAATTATGTGAAGAACTGCATGCATTTCTGTACACTAAAGTAAATAGGTGAGGAATTTCAAGGTTATCTATAAATTTCCAAGGCAATTCTGATGTCACTAGCACCATTTATAAAGGTCAAAGGTCTAATTGTGGCAGAGACACCTTAATTCCTATGCGGTGCATAGATTTCTAACTTATCTTTGCCGGCATGTTTGAAATGGCTCTTGAGGTCCATCCAGCCTCCTATCCAGTGGTTGCAGAGTTTATTTCTTGCAGGAAATGAAGTATCATCAGATGAAGTCATTTGCACCTAAGAAATTTTGTCCTAGTTACCAACTGTAAACTGAGTTGAAGCCACTATCCAGTCTGTTTTGAAATTTTTCCCAATTGAAGTAAAAAGATGTTCCTTTTATTGTGAAACATGTTTAAACAAATTAGTTTGAGAAAGGATCATTTCCTGTCAAATGACATCATCAGAATCATCATGTCATCTGTTGTAGCCACATAATGAGAGTCTCGGTTGTCAGAGATCCGTATTAATGTCACTGGCCTCTACAGTATTTATATTTTCTGGCTACTGTTTGAAACCCAGCTACTATTTATAAGTTTTCAGGGACATTTTTGCACATGTAGTTATAGCTAGAAGAATATAATATGGAGTAATTCTCAGTACAGTTCTTACCAAATAAATCGCATAAAATATTGAGCACTTGTAATAAGCAGCTCTGTTGCATGTTCTAGGTTAATGTGGGAAGTTTCAAGAAACCGCAGCAGCGTATTTCTTCCAATAAGAGCCCTAGTGGGGGAAGTTCTGGAAGCAAGGGCAGTGGCGCGAGTTCCGGAACCAAGAGGAAGGGCTGTCGATGTGGCAATGCGACGGCGACTCCTGGAAAATTGACGTGTTGTGGGCAACGGTGCCCTTGTTATGTGGAGAGCAAGGCGTGCATGGAGTGCCGCTGCAGAGGCTGCCGTAACCCCCACAGACCAGGGGGTCATAAGGTGCTATTTTCGTGTTACATCATAATATTCACAAATTAGGTTCGTGGGCTTATCACATACTGCCCACAGTTGGCATGCATTTTACGTCGTCATTATTTACAAACTATTTTTTTGTGTTACCATAAATCTATTCGTAATACGATTGTAAATACTGTCGTGGACAGGTACGCCCCCTTATTCCGGAACTGCAGAACTTCCAACTCCATCTCAGTCCCAGTTCCATCATGGGCTCGGCCACTTTGTCGACTTCTTGTAGTACCGCAGAGTCGACTCTCTCGGCCATAGATCCTCAACAGTGCTTGACGATGGATTCTACTGATCTTTCTGCAAACACAGTGCAAGTACTAGGAGTGTATACCACAGAGTTACATACTGTGTCCTCGGCACTACCAGCCGCTTTGCTCGTCGGCGACGACAACCTCCCCTCTACCGAGAGCTCTGGTGATGATACCAGTGATGTTGACATAGACATTTGACAGTACTACCAGCAAATGGCACCACCAGGTGATTCAAATGATTTTTGAGATTGACACTTCTTTAATCGTAATAAGGTGCTGTGAATAGATTATAAATATTTATAAGATGAAAATTAACTCCAAGCAGACAAATAATCAGGTGTGCAGTTTTGCTAAGTATGAGACTTTTGTGTTGTCCACTGCTTATTACTTCAGAAGTTCATCTGATGAAACAATGTACACTTATACATCATTTCTGTGCGATGATTATATACTAGCAACTTTTTGGATGTAAGATTTTGGATTCTTATAGCGGTGAAGATGTCGGTCACAGTCTTCTGGGTCGTTACGCCACGTGGCATTATAGGAAGTTACCATTTTATCATATCAGGGTTAACACTTCACACCTTGAAGATGAAATTGAAATGGTCCTCGAAATGTTGGTAATTACGTGTAAGACCACGCGGTGTCACAACCCAGAAGACCACAATTGACGACATAGTAGATATTTTTGTATGTAAGTAGTAGAAAGTTAAGTATAATATGAAATTTATTGCTTAAACTATAATTTACACACTGTCTGGAAGGAAGTGTTCCGTAAGTACTCATATCGAACATTTATATATATTTAAATTCACTATATATGGACTTGGAGGAAGAGGGGATTGCAAATGTGTACCAGGAACAGAGCGTTTATGACAGCCATGTTAGCACGGCTGGTACTTTGAAAAATAAAACGTCTTGCTTTCATACTACGTACACTGGAACGCAGCAGAACCAATCAGATAAAATGTATCGTTAACCAGCTCCAACTAGCCCACATACAGGAATGGAAAATGTAATCCAATATGCACCACTCTACTGGTTCTGCCAGCTGGTGAACAAAAAAAATCATTCTGTATACTTCATTTTCACCGCAGTTTCTACAGTTTTGATAAATTATAGGATTAAACATGCCAAATTATTGTGCCACTTTACATCACTTTTATTTTAACAAACTGAAATGCAGGCAGCATTTAGAAGACTAAGTGACAAGTTTAACACATCACATTTCTGTCGTTAAGTAGCGATTTAAAAGTAAGGAAATCTTTATTATTACTACCCGTAAAGTAAATACTGTTACTAACTTATAGTTAAGTGGGTTTAATGTAGATGGGACTACTGTATCTCACTTAACGAGCATCACATATGCTAATTTAGTCCGTGCAACTGTGAAGTTTCTGTAATGAAAATATGATGCACTTCAGCAGTGCATTGACTTTACATGCACTAAACACATTCATTCTCTAACCCTCTGGTGACATAATATAGCAGAAGTCCAGTTCTTATTCTTCCTAAGCTCCATATTGATATTCCACCATCTAATTCTTGGTCTTTCAACTGCTTGTTACATCCTTCCATGTTGCAAATCCCCTTCATTTAAGTATCATTCCCAAGTTAGGTGCTTCAACTAATGTACACAGAAATTATGTAAACAAGTCATTTGGGTAATTATTTACAACATTTTATTAATCTTTTAAAATGTTGTTACAACAGTTAATTCAATGTATACAGAGGTGCCTGTACTGTCGTATTCACGTGATTGTCATTATACTGACAGATGCGTTATTTCTATTTGGCTCTGATATTAAAGTCTACAATTTGGATCAATCCTGGGACATTCTGTTTGAATACTAGGCTAGGACACTAACGACTAGACCAAAGAATGGTCCTATACCTAACAAATAATTTAAAATCAAATGCAGCAAGCACTTGCATTAATATTGAATTCTGTAGCGACGTAAAGACTGATAATTCTGAGCAGTACCAAATATTTCTTGCAGTGCTTTCTATGACAGGTGAAATTTTGGAAACATTTCAGTACCTGTCATTGTAGTAACGTCACAGTTCGCATTACACGTGGCATTTATTATTCGGTCCATACGATATTCTGCATTAACAGCACGAATACGACGTTCCAAAAGACGTATGAGACATATCCCATGTTTCCAGGGATGCGTATAAATCTGGGCCACTTCCGTCCATCTCCTATTCTTGCTTTCTAACTTTCTACTTTCAAACTGCTACCCTGCATGCGATGATATATTTACAATGACATTTTTCAACCCATTCCAATTCTGGACAATGAGGGAAGTTGTTAATAATAGAGATGTGTAAATTTTATTCAGCTACTGAACTATTTCTGTCTTACCATTTCCTTCCACGTCTACCTGAAGTCATCGTTCATTTGTCTCTACATAAAGTATGTGCTGTAAAGTAATTATAATGGAATGTGCCTGCAGCTCATTTTGCTTGTAGAGCCAATTTTCACCACTGAATACCATTCTATAATAAGTACTATGTGCGTATCTGCGCGTTACTCCAGTCGATGAAATGACTTATCACGTGCCTCCTTTGCTGCACTACATTCAGTAATATCTTCTTGCATATCTGACACGTGATATTAGACGAATCTTTCGAATGACTTCTCTCATGCTGTTTTAGGGCATTTCCTCTTGTGAATTGTTTATTGCATACTTTGCATATGTACAGCCGCCCGCTGTGCTTCTGGAGGTGCTGCCACAAACCAGAACGGCCAGCGTACGACTGGAAGCACAGATGACAAGTGTGTTGTTTTTGGGGGTTTTCATTCATTTCAGAAGTTACTGACTCGTTCTGCACTCTGTTAACGTAAGCGTTCCTACTACTAAAATTACTTTTCAGTGTTTTGTTTTTTTCCTTCATCTTTTGTTGTGGTTCCCTGTAGGACATTCCTATACTTTTAAAAACAGATGTTGTTCTGCTGCGACGGAATTTCATGCTCATGTCACCCCTGCTTCTCCCTTCTGATTCATTCCAAGACGTATGTTTTGTACTAGTAACTTGTTTGCTGTCATGAATCATATTTCCTTCATTTGTCCCACACCGATTCATACTAGATGAAACTTTAGCATTTGATTCATTACAGTTCCAAGCAGAATTACTAGTATAACGCAGTTCATCATCATTCTCCAACTTTATGTTTGCTTGTTGTTGGTTCAGGTCGCCTGTGTCACTCAGTTGTTTAGGAACAGCTGAACTGCGCGAAGCAAAATGGTCTTCCGCCTTTTCGTTCCAGTCACTACAGTTGACCATGTTGTCATACTCTGAAGTCTCATCTTGAAATTCTTCTTTTTGCTGAAACAAGTTAAATCTGATGGGCAGAACATGTAGCACACATGGGAGTAATGAGATGCTTAGAAAATATTGGATGGTAAACTTCGAGGGAAGAGATCACTCGGGAGACACACCTGAAAAAATGTGAATATAATATAAAAATACATGTTGGAGAAATAGTGTGTGAAGGTATGGACCAGATTAAACTGGCTTGGAATCTAATGGCGGGCCTTTTGTGAACCACCCACATACCATAAATGCACCTGCAACAATCCCATCTTCAGACATCTTGGTCTTGACTGACTTAACTGATGCGTGTTGGTGACTAGACTAAACATTTTTTTGTATTTTCTTCTTGACTAATCATTGTGTATCCAGGCTAAACTAAAAAAAAATGCTTGTCTATCGACATTAAATGTCTAAGATGTAAGTGGAATGAATTGTTACAAATTGTTCTTTATTGCACTAAAACTTGATAAGTATTTATTTGGCGTCACATGGTCCATCATTGTTGCCAGTAAGAATAAAAGAATTCTGTATTTGCTCGTTTCAACTTATAAACATTTGTCTCATTCTGATGAAATTTGGAAAGAAAGATTGTTACTTTATTCCTATGTTGATTCTTGTAAATACCAAACACATGGATTCAGATGTTTTAGTGCTAGGCATTTTTTTAAATTCAACTTACCTCATTTTTTAACTGCGCATTATACTTTCGGAGTGTTGCATCAGAATTTTCACATTGTGTTTTAAATTTGAATGAGCAGTTTAGTTGATATATGCATTGGGCACAGATATTCATTGGTAAACCATCATTCATAAACACCTGAAACAAATATAATGGTCTTACAGTATCTTACATTCCATATTTTTATTCAATGGTCACACAGTATCTTACATTCCATATTTTTATTAATTTATGCTATGTGTAATATAATTTATGGAGCCACTGTAGTTCAGTCAGTATAGTGTCTTGATTATGGACTGGATGACCACAGTTTGATCCCTGGCAGAGGCAGAGGATTTTTCTTCTAGTCTCTGTGTCCAGGCAGGCTCTGGACACACTGCTTCTTATCCATTCGTTACAGAGGGTCCCTTCCTGGGTTGTGGACATGTTGAATTGTTGGGTGGGAGCGACATCAGCAGTAGTCATGAACTTGTGCATGACAATAGGTCACTGAAAAATATTCATGTTTTATTGACGTAATTTTTCTTATAGACTGTAAGAAACGTGGTAGTCATGCAAAAATCATCTTCGCCTTGCATTTCAACAGAGATTAACTAATAACCATTGGAGCTAGGTAAATGAAACTTGGTATGGAAATCATAAACGTACCAAAAATGTTTTGTATGAAATATGGTCTGTAAGTTAACAATTGTAAACATGATGATAAAAACGTTGGAGGTTATATCTGACAAATTTAAACGCAATTTGAAACCCAGGAAATAAGTGTGTAGAGTTGTACTCGGAATTCTTTCACTAAATTATGTTCAGTTGTTCACTCAAGTAAGAGGGAAACTGTTCCTCAGGTTAAACACGTTACGAAGTAATTAGCACATGTTTCTATGAAAGGTTTTAACCTAACCTTAAGTGACAGGCAGTACAGTATTCTATAAGGAATAATTCCGTGAATATAGGCGACAAGGCACCTTCATGCCTCAAACAAAGGCGGCAAATTTTATTAAGATTCCATTCTCCATTGCTACAGCCCATCATTTTGCTTCTTAATCAATCCAACCTCAACGTAACTTCCATATTGACCAACGCGTGATGGGCATAAGTAAAGTGTGTTCATGCACAGGTGATGTGACGGTCATTTTTCACCGTACTCGTGAACAGCACTCATGGATGAATAACCCAAGTTTAATTTAAATTAATGTTGGGGAATTATTGGAAAAACTGTCCAGCCATTACAGTTTTCATTAAATCGGACAGTGCTAATGCTTTTACGTGAGAGCATAAGTACTTCTTTCGAGCTTATGTCAAATACTAGCTAAAAGAAGTTGCAGGAACTGATTTTTTGTTCAGCTTTGCAGAGCATGGAAAATACATTTCATAAATGGTCATTCCTTTCTTCGATAAACATCCTCTACAGTATTAATTCAATTAAATGGCCATTATGATTACAATGACGTCAACGCAGTTTAGTACAATTTTCGTCGTCCACCTGGATACATTTTATTTGCTTCCACCATTTATACGCTTTGAATGATTACCCCCATGTTGTTGATGTATGATAACGTTGTATTCACCATGAGTTGTAAGCCTATGCCTTTGAATCATTGTCTTCGATGTAATTAATGGTAATGACAAAAGCGCTATAATTTCTTTTCAAGAATAATGTTTTATAATACTGGCTGGCAGTTGATAACATAAGGCTGTGAAAATGGCAAGGATAGTTAAAGCACTTACAGCAGTACGGAACAACTGGAAGAAGTCTGTTTTTATTTGCGCAGCTGCTTCATACGGCTTACAGTATGCGGTGGACAAGTATAAGTAAGCATTGGATTTATATAGACTAATGTTTCATACCATTACATACAAAATTGGGGTTATTTGTTCGACTCCTCCACATCACACTTCCAATTCCACACGTCTTTATTTCACACATAACCTCACTACTTTTATGCAGCTCTTCATTTCTTTGACATATATAATATTAGTTCCAAAATTATTTATATGCCCTCTTTTTTGTACTTTGGGCATGAGAAGGAAATAGAAAAGTGAGATTCATATGCATTGGCCACCAAGACATCACATCATCTGGCAAATGTGTGGGCAAGGAATGTATTACGTTACGATGCTTGACGAGGGTATAATATTTCTAGAATTGTGCTTTGGCATTTATAGCAGCTTCCAGTGATTTGTGTTTTTAGAAGGTATTTAATGTAATTTCAGTTTCTTCAACCATTACATGTCACCCAACCATAAGTGTATGTAGAATTACTTTTGTTCTGACTGTGTGAGAAACCAGGAGAAATTTGGGTTGTGTCAGCAGTTTTATGTGTATTGGGGGATCAGATCCTGCATATTCTTGTATTTATGATGATGTGATTGGAAAAATTTGAGTTTTTATAATTATTTTATTATTATTTCCATGCCAAATTAGTCTAAATGATATGGTTTAGAATGTAAGCCTTTTATATTTCAGTTCCTTCCAGCTTATGCGGGGGTACTGTGAAGAAGCTTTGCAGTATGGAGAAATACCAGTGTTAAATGGGAGCAGACCTAGACACATAACCATCATTCTTAATCCTGTAGCTAACAAGAGGTAAGTAAAAAGTGGAAAACTGCATGCTTGTGGTATGCTCCCAGTCTTATTTAGCAGTTCTGCCAATATTGGATATTGGGTGAGATTTCAGGCTCTGACAGTGATGATTATGAAAATGACTGTCTTCTGGGTTGTTGCACCATATAATATAAATTAACTGATGTGTACGAGGTGATTACTGACTTCATCATCTTCCTGATTATGTAGGCTGTATGCACCTCTGAAACGTGGCCAGGAGACAGTCATCTGTAATATTACCAATGTCTAAAATATGTCACAACATTAAAGAGTTGTCTCTAATCATTTTATAATGTCAGTCATTGTACTGTGAGATGGGTTTTTAATTTTTTTTTTTTGTCTATTGTAGCAGTTCCGATTGCTACAGATTTCTGTCCTTTGTGTTTGATATTTTTCAGTCTATCAAGAGGGTTGAATCACATTATATACGCCTCAACACATGTTTAATTATGTTACTGTTTGACTCACAGTTCAAGTGTTCTGTTACTATAGTTCCCAAATTATTATTTTAATTTAAGCTAAAAGGTTTTAATTCTTTTGTAATGTATTTATTTCTTTTGTGGTCCACTGAATTTGCATTCATCAAGAAACACAAACATTTTAATTGGTCTGCATGTATTTGTGATATTATTTTCATAAGTTATTACATGTAGATTCCAACTAATATATGGTGTCAAAAATGTTATTAGACACGGTTGTAATAATTTTATTTGTGATCCAATGGACATTATTAACCTTCTGCAGGACCATGTGACCTTGCGACCCAGATGACCACAATGAACAGCTTACATTTGTTTTTGCTCTCTCTCTCTCTCTGTCTCTTCAGAAAATCAAAAAAGAATTTTGACAAGTACTGTGCTCCTCTGCTGCATTTGGCAGGCATCAGCGTGAATATTATACAGACCGAATCTGAAGGTCAAGCACGGGGGCTGGTTGAATCATTGGATGAGGTTGTGGATGCCATAGTTATCGCTGGAGGAGACGGGACAGTCTCTGAGGTAATAGCCATATTTGCGCAATAGGTGATTTGTGTTGTTTGTTCTGTGAAGGAGAGCTTCATGTACCATTTTCAGTGTCCAAAAACTTGACATTTGAGTTTTACATACTTAACTGTTATGGATGGAACCCTGCCCCTCTTCAGTACCAAAAGACATAGTTCTCTGGCATCAGTTCCTTTTTTTTGTAGGATTTTATGTTAGAATATGAATATGGCTGTCTTCTGGGTTTTAGGTCTGGTAGATGTTCGACTCCAACCAGACTACACAGTGCAACAACCCAGAAGACATTTTTTGTTTTTGTTGTAGATTTTTCCATAATTGAAAATAAATATGAAAAATTGTGTAGATTCAAATTATACTTACAAGTTAGAGGATAAATTGTTTATACGTGCAGGTGTCAAGTGTTACTGCTTCATTGTACATCCTCAAGTTGTAGATGGAGGTAAAGGCCTCCAGATGTGGGTAGCTGTGAATGTCAACTTCTCATCGTAAAACATTACGAAATCTTATACAGAGCCTCAGACTTACTTGTAGGCTCTTGTGAACAGGGTAATGAACCCATGGGTTCTGTAAAATACAGGAAATTAGTAGTTTCGCATCCTGTTGGCTTCTCAGGGGCACTCTGTTCCGTGGGTTCAGTTACTTAGCATCGATGTCCAAATCCCAAAAGTCGAGTGATTGTCGGTTAAGACATAGCAGACTAAATTATTGACTTTTGCTGAAATTTTGAAGTTTATTTTTGTAATGTTTCATTATTATTTATAACATAAGAATTATGTAAATATCAGTGAAACTTAGAATTATGTCATATTTTGAACTGGCATTACGTAACTGGTGACTTGTGTTAATCTCATGCGAGGCAATGTAACGCAGTTACAGAGCTGTATCTAGCCTCCGAGGGAAGGATTGTGCGTCAATTGGTTAAATAAATACATATAGTCTGATCTTTGATGTCATTTTCAGTCTACGTTATGTTACGCAGAAGAGTTTGCCATTTTGCATTTTTATGACAGACTTCCTGAAACATCCCGCGTACTCATAAGAGGTTCGCAAACCACCGGATTAGACGCGCCACAGGACTTGTTGGTAACCACCGACACTTGTCTTTACGGTCTAAATCGTCTTTCAGGCTGTGACTGGCTTGTTGCGTCGAGCTGATGGAGATCTTGCAGTGCAGAGAAAGTTTCCGATTGGTATCCTGCCACTCGGACGAACGAACACTGTCGGTACTTCTTTATTTTTCGACTCGGATAAGGTAAAAATGATGGCTGAAGCTACAATGGCAGTCGTCAAAGAAATTACTAAACCCGTCGATGTAATCAAAATTGAAGTTCTTGAGGTGAGTGCTTAGTCAATATTGTCTTAGCTTTATTATCGTTGTATTGTTTTTCTTACTACTGTGGGTATTCCAGAAGTTAATTTTGTTTTACAAAACTTTTCCCAACAGAAGTCAGGAACTCTGCCACACATTATCTTTTGTCTTCTTCTTATTACCAGTGCAAGTGTCAGCCCTTTGACTCTTATACAGACAATGAAGTGCCTTCTATTTTGATATGAATTTTCTTTTTCGCTAAAAAGGGAATTATTCTTTAACACCTACCTTATTCACCTGACGTCTGTCCCTGTAATATAAAGTATACATGCAGTTGCTTTATTTGTTATCAGACGGAACAAGAACTTCCTGGCAAGGCCGTGTACTGTTTGGGTGGGATCCAGTGGGGTGCCTATCGTGATGCCCATGCAAAGAGAGATAAGTACTGGTACTGGGGAGCGCTGCGCTCATATGTAACTTACGTTTTCACGGGGTTGAAGAGCGACGAATCTGACGTATCGTGGCAGTGCAAGGGAGTGCTCAGCTATATTCTACCGTGCAGCGGTTGCTCCAGGTGCATTCAACCTGTTGAAACGGACACATCCACTCGTCGCTGGTGGCACGTGTTTGTTTCAAGACAGATCGTGGAACCAGGTAGCAATTATTTCGGCATTATAATCATTTGTTGAGATTTCCGCCATTATTTTCTGACCCCCCTACAATTGCTCCTCGTATATTTGTGTTCATGCTTTTCCCTTCTTTGTGGATGGACTTTCCACCTCTGTCAGTGGTTTTGACTTCATTTTACTTTTATTTAAGACTCAACGAAGAAGTTTTGCGTTAATTTGCATCTCTTTTCTTACAGTTTCGAAGGATTATAGTAAAGTCATAAATGAACACTGTGGAACAAAATTGCAGAAAGAGATTTCAGCAGTTGATTTGTCTCTTACAACAGCAAATGTTAGTCCCAACTGCTTCAGGGATGGAGACCCACACATCAAGGTGGAATTAGGTAAGGATTTTATGTATAAATTTCACCCTTATTAATTTGTGATGTTAGTTGACATTGATAAGTCGTGATGATATATCGGGGAAATGTGTTTCGTGTGGATCCAGACAGAAAATATTGGCAGTTCTGGCAGTCCGTAGTATCAATGAGAGCTTAGTTATATAACAGTACATGTCTATCAGTTACAGAAAACCTGACATGCCAGGACACTGTAATGTGACGTCGGTCCTCGCCATGTTTATATTATCATTCTGAGCTCAGTTATATAACAGTACATGTCTGTCAGTTACAGAAAACCTGATGTGCCAGGACACTGTAATGTGACGTGGGTCCTCGCCATGTTTATATTATCATT